ATACAATTGTTCATTGATTTGTTTAGTGATGTGGGAAATAGAGCAGAAATACATAATTAAATCTGAATCTTCTGTTAAGCAATCATTAAGTGGCTGACAATATTAGAATACAAATAGTGTTAAGCAATCATTAAGTAGCTGACTAATTAGAACAAAATACTGAGCTATATAAAAAGAGTATGTCAGAGATGCACATTTTTTAAAAAGTTGGTTTCTGGTGGCTTTTAGGAACATTAGGATATATTACAATCACTAGAGGAGGCAGGGCTGAAAATTCTGAATCTTTTGAAGTTAACTATTTTGTGGGTGCTTTCAGCACTAACATACTTATTTTGAATGACATGTTGCCCCTATAGCACACTCACACAAATGCAAATGCAGATGAAAATTTGTGGTTTCTACCAAATTGTGACTATACAATCTTTCAGATTCAAAAAATGGGATTGGAGGTTACATGTTGTCTATGGGTTATAAATTGTCCACTTCTGAGCAATACTGTTTGGCATTAAGGATCTACTGATATATAGAGCTGGTAATTGGAACCAAGGAAAAGAAGTGGTTTGGCCAATATAAAGGTCCTGCAGACAAATTGGATTGAAACAATTCAGATCAAAGTAAGAGGTTTATGAAAGTTGGCAATCTAAGAGATACATCAAGCCAAAAAGAAGGAACAACATGAACAAATTTACAACAGAACCAAAAACCTTTTCAAATGTAAGCTGTCAACCAGCATTCTAGAAACCTCTTCCTGTTTCTTTTTATAGAAGCTCCTAAATAACTGCTGCCAAAGACAGCAGGCTGCGTTAAACAGCCTCAAAGAAGCTTCTATTCCAATGTGGTAGCTGGAGCTTAGGAGAAATTCCCATTGTTTTTCTTCATTTGGTTCTAGAATTAAATAAAAGGCATGCAGCATTGGTGTGAGCTGTGTTTCAACTCATTCACACATCCCTTATTATCTCACTTAGCTGTGGCAAATATGTAAAGCACTTTCCCTTCCCAATCAATCTTTACCAAAAAGTAAGAATTTCTGCAATGAGCAGTTCATTTCTCTGTATCTAGAGACAACATGAACAATTTCAAAGTGCCAGTTGTAAATGGTATTTGCAAGGGAAAGCTTTCTATTGAAAATGGCCAATCGTTTCAAGAATTGACCCAAGTTACAAGCTAGTGATGTGGATGTATACTTTAGCTCAAACCAACATTTCACCTCTTGCCCTCTTCCAAGGTAAATTCTACACACACTGATAATGAGGAGCCATTTTCTTATTACAGAGGCACCTTCATGCTCTCTTTCCAAATAATAATTAAAAAAAAAATCCATCCTTTCTGGAATGTGAGCAACATCTTTTTTTTTTATTGAAAAAGTTTTTCAAATACAGATTTTTCCCCATTTTTCCCCCCTCCACCCTAACCCCCCCTCCCCCTCCCCTCCCCCCATGGCTTCTCCAAAATAAAATCCAAATTAACATCAAATTATATAATACTTTACCATCCTTTTACACCACCCCCCTCATGCTAACCATTTCTTTCTAACATTATTATTATATCCCCCCTATACTATACTATACATTTCAAAGCAACCTTCAGCTATAAAACTATATAATAAATCCTAATTTGGCATTTATTCAACTCATAATCTACCCATTTCCTCCGCCCCCAAACATATATCTCTTAATTCAAATCTTTTGCATATATTTATATCTAAACATAACATTCCTTTTCCTAAACTAAACTAAACAATCAATAACCTATCTCCACCCATTTTCCTACAGGTCTAACATACATAATATTTTTAATATCTTTGTTCTTCTGCCCACACCACACCACTAAAAGATATTTCCATATATAAATAAAATCCTCAGATGACTTTAAATTTATAATCCATATAATATCTTCTGTAATGTCTTTCAACTGGATTATTAATTCCATCACCCATGTTAGGGTAATATCAGGTTCAGCTTCCAACAGTATATTCAATATCTTCAATTACCACCTGCCCCCATCAATAATAAGTATTTTCATATATAAAAAACCACCCGAGTGACTTTATATTTATATTCCATGTAGTATCTTCTGTAGTGTCTTTTATCTAGATTGTTAATTCCAACCACCACATTGGGGTAACAACCAGATCTTCTGCATGCCCCAATCCCATAGATCTCTTGCCACATAACTCAACATATACGTAATCCATTTTTCAAAGAGTCCAAAATAGAAAGTTCCAATCCACTCAATCAGAGGCAATCTTCCACATCCCAAAAGCACCAGCATTGCAGAGATCTGTTATTCTTCTCAAAATAGTATAAGTCAATAATTTGCCTCAGTTATATTTTCATGTATCAGCCTTCTATAAATCCTGCTTATTATATTTCGTCGTCTCTTAAGTAACTGGCATTAGACTGTTGTTTAGTTTAAAAATTTTTAGTTTTGTAGGACCTGCTTCTTCTTTTCTTGGCTTTTTGTGATTTAGATCTCCATCCTAGTTGCCTTTCTAGAACTTGCATATCAGCTGATTGATTTCCATGCTGGTCTATAACTTGATAAGACATCACATTAAAATCCCAAGCCGCCTCTCTTGTATTTATAGGTAATCCAGCTATAACCTCTGAAGGAGAATCCAAAAGCGGCTCATCCCAAAAAGGCTCTGCAACTTGTTGTTTTTCCATTACCTCCATCTCCATCTGCTTAGGCTGAGTTTCAATCTCTTGTTCATTTTGCTTTTCTTTATTCCCCTCCTGTATTCCTAACACTGATAGCATACATGGAGATGTTGGATCCATTTTAAAAACCTTGTAGTAAAATTCTTCCGCTTTTTCAACAGTATTTAGTTGATATCTTTCTCCTTGATATCTCAATATTATACCAACTGGAGCATCCCACCTAAATGGGATGTTTTGTTTCTTTAGCTCAGTCACCAAAAATCCAAAGTCCTTTCTATCTTTTAACATCTTAGACGGCAGCTCTTTATATATCTTCCCTCCGTTCCTTTCCAGAGTGGAGTTAAAAGACTTTTGCACAATATCATTTCTTATTACTCTATCAGTAAAATAAACCACCACATCTTTAGGCAACTGCCTTTGCTTTGCAACCCAAGAATTCACTCTGTAGACCTTATCAATCCTGCAGGATACCTCTTCAGGACTAACCTTTAAAATCCCAGCCAGAACTTCAGCAGACATCTTTCTCAAGTCATCTCTGTTATTTTCCTGTATTCCCCTCATTCTGACCGCAAATTCCATGGACCTGTATTGCATCATTATAACTTCTTTTTCAATCCTTTGTTTTATATTGTCTGCATTGTAAATCTTGTGGTCAGCTTCCTTTATTTTAGGCTTTACTTCTGAGCTATTGTCTTGAATATTTTTCAAATCATTTTCAATTCTTTGTATTTTATTGTCCAAATTATAAAACTTATTATCAGCTTCCTTCATTTTAGACTCTAATTCTAAGTTGGTATCGTTATCCATCTTTATAACTATTTCTGAGAAAGTTTTCAAAGCTGTTACAATCTGTTGTTTCAGGTTGGCATATTTTCGTTGTACCAACTCTTTAATTTCCTGCCTGAATTTTTCAAGATTCTGGTTCACAATCTCATCATGTCTTGCCATCTCCTCCAAAACAAATTCCTTTAGGTCTTTAAAACCATTCTTCTGAATCTGCAAGCTCAAAACTTGTTCATATGATTTGTAAATGGGGGAGCCCCCCCCCCCATTTGTTTGTCTGGCTTTGTCAGTTTTAACGCCATCCTGCCACACAGACAAACTCTTTTTAAAGAAAAAGACTTCTCTCCAAACGGTATCAGTATCAAGTCTCTAAGAAGGAAGAAACATAAAGTAGAAATTTTTATCTTCAATACTAGCCAGCACTATTATTTCAGATACTTTGTAACATATTGAACTATTCAGGCGGAAGGACTTTCGCTTTCAGCTTTCTTCTTCTCAAGCCTCAGCCAGTCGCCATTTTAAACTTTTTTTTTCTTCGCTTTTAAAATCACTTATAAAATTGTTAGAAATACTTGCGATTTAGGGTCCCAAATCCGGATTTCATCCTGTTTGTTTAGACAATCTGTTAATTTTCATTAATTGGATTGGTCCCGTCGCCTGGCTCTGCAAAAAGCAGAGTTTCCCCGAAGCCCGGAGCAACGGCAAGCTGAATAGGGAGCCACATTCTGCTTCCTCCCCAACAGTAATAAAAAACTCTGGGGAGTTCGCAGAGGGCTCTACCTGTCCTCGCCGGCTCTATCTCATGTCTCCTCAAGGAGACGGAGTTTTTCGAGCCGTCTCTCGGCTGTAGAGACGGCTCTTTACAGGCAACGAGGCTGGCGGTCCTGAAAGACCGTCTGGCGGCGACGGAAGCCAAACCGGAAGCCCAAGCAACATCTTAAAATGAAAGAAAAACTGACCTACAAATCCTTATTCTTGATCATTTCCCCAAGATCTCTTTTTTTGCAACAAGAAAATCGGAACAGAATTGCAAATACAAAGAACTGATAAATTCCTGGTCAATGTTATTTACACTATCATCCTTTCCATTAATATTAGTGCTCCTGTTAATGCTATGCCATGATACACATATATCAGTCACTTCAGACAAAATCTATTTTTCATATTCCTACCATCCTTCCTAAACTGTGTAGAAAATAATATATGTCTGTAGAAATTATGAGGTATATAACACAAATTGAATATCCCAAAAGAATAAATGCTGATATTATATTGTGATTAATTAAAACATTTAAGTAATAAACATGATCTCCAAGCATGGAGCTTTATATAGTCAAATCAGGCTGAACTAAACACACAAGAAAGAGACAATGAAGATTTATGAACTCCAAGCCTTACAGAAGGACATTCACAGACATATTTGCACAAAACCATTCAAATAACCTAACAAATACTCAGGGTTTATTCTCTAAGACTAGGTATTCTGCTATCTAACAGGTGACACTGATATCAGAAGGGAGAAATAAATGACATCGTCTTTTGTTAATCTGTACTCACCCTTAAACCATCCTGACAGCAAGTTCTTCTACTGTACTTTCCCATGTTATGTTTCTGAGCATTCCTGTCTGTGATTTCAGTTGTTCCAGGTTAACACAGAGCTCATTGGTTTTTTACAGAGTGGGAATGTCTTCTCAACTGAGCATTCAGAACCTGCACTAGATAGAAAGATGACTGTAAAGATTTGCCCTTGTGTGATGATGTGCAATGTTTACCCTAGTCTCTAATACTTTTCAAAGCTTTATTAACATGAATGCTATAAAAACATAATGATTAAAACTTTTGTCTTACAATAAAAGGTTGCTGACCAAGTACAACACAAGTTTTTCTTTTTCTTTTTGTACTTAAGAAACACCCTTTAACTTATTTTTAAAAAGCACAGCTAAGCATAAGAAGCTCAGGAGAGGAAATAGTAATAATAAAATGATATTTTTCTACTGGGTTTCAAATCAGCAACTTTCTATTTTAAAACTAAGGGCTTTATCCATTATATTGTTATAGAATTCATGGCATAGTTAGATTTACAAAATATGTATAAAGGTAATAGGTCAACAAGGAATTTTTTTAAAAGGTAATTTGCTGGGTATTACATATTGATGCTTTAATTTTGCACATATATAGTAATTATACAAAGGAAAAGAGAGAGAGAGACAAATGTACATAAGCCCAAGAAAATCTTCCATATAAATTAAAGTGACTGATAATTGAATTCCTGGGGCAGAAACATAGGATGACATAACAACCAAGGAATTATCTAATGAGAAGATATGGTAGTATACTCTTCAGATAGAATACCATAAACTCTGTTGTCAAATGATTTTTTAAATCCGTCTTAGAATCACAACTGCTTGAGCATATGGCAGAATCAGTTGGAGTGGTAAATTTAAGCCTGTTCAATAGCTACTGATTATTGCATACTTAAATATGAACACGCAGTAACAACAATTATATTATTACCTATTCCATGTATTATATTATTTTCTTGTTCAGGAGGCCTTTTAAACATTTAAGCCCTGCAATAATCTAATTGTCATAATTAGATTATTGCAATGCATTCTACTTGGGGCTGTGCTTGAAGACCACCCAAAAGTTACAGTTTGTGCAAAATGCATCAGTGTAAGCAGCAATAGGTACTTCTCAATGTACCTGTGTCAATCCTGTTATGCAAGCTGCATCAGCTGCCATTTGGCTTCCAAGAGCAATTCAAGATGCTGGTTATTACCTATAAAGATCTCTGTGGCATAGAAACTGGATACCTGACAGATCACTTGTGTCTATTTGTTTCTGACTGGCCAGTCCATTCCAGCAGAGTAGATGTGCTTCAGGTAACCACCATTAAATACTGTCATGCTATGGGTCTTAGAGGGAATGCCTTTTCTGTTGTGTCACCCCCTTTCTGAAACAGTATCCCTTCAGAAATAAGGATGGGGTCCCCTCTCTTGGGATTTTGGAAAACCTTCAAAACCTGGCATTGGCCTCAGTTCATATTTTATTTAATGGCCCCTGTTTTGTTTCATAGTTTTTATTATTACTGCATTTTAGTCTTGGCTACTAGTTGATTTAATGTCTTGAGCTGTTTTTAGTGGGCAACAGATTTAAATAAACAAGAAATTGTTCTGTTAAATTGGTCATTTAATATCAAAAGCCCAGAGAGAGAAATAATGATGAAATAAAAGACATAAGAGAGATCAGTCAAAAACATTTTTTATGTGAATCCTAAGAGTCAATTGATGAACTGCTTTAATGATGATGTTCTATAAAAGAAAAACATGGATTTTTGTGGAAAAATAAGTTGGATTACTATACTCATCATCCTAAAGTCCTAGAAAAAAGGAGAAATATAGAGTGACTGAAATAGTGAAATAGATGGTGTATCAGTTTGATAAAAAATAAAAAATAAACATAAATATGACAAATAACAAACTAGAACAAAATATTATTCACACACACACATACAGTTCTGAAAATTGTATTTAGGAACCCACACATTGGGGTGGCTGTCTATTAGCACAATATGTATTAGGAATAGGATTGTATGGGATATATAGTTGGATTAAGCATAGAAATGTGACATGTTAAACAAAGTATGTAATGTTGCAATGTATGACGTTTTTGTGGACCAAGAGTTACAAATGACAAAATACGTTTCAACAGTATAAAAATAAATTCTAAAAAATAGTGAAGGGACATAATAAAGAGTACTAAATAGGAAGAACATTTTGCAGCACTGAAATAGATTGCGTTTAAATCAGTCCATGAAGCAGGTGAAGGATTTGTTCCAGAAAAGACGCTTGCCAAGTGACGTTGGGCCACATGTAACAATCTTGTGCTTCACTAAGAATATCTGAAAATACACAGAGAATCATAGTGATGGATGGTGATGCTGGTTGGGAAGAGGAAACTTGTGCAAGCACATTGCTCAAACTCCCACTGTCTGAATGATGTGTTTCATACAACAGTGTGGAAATTCATTAAGAAAAAGACCTGGTGGTCCAGAGCACACAGAAAAGGCTGGCTCAGAAGGAGTTACTTGTGTGTGAGAGAGTGGGGTGGGGGGTGGGGAGACTGTGTTAATACAGCATTTCCCAGCCTCATTATTATGAAAGTAAAGACTGGGTTAGAGTGGAAAATATAACTGCATGCTAAGTATAGTGTGAGTGTGTTGCAAAGAGGTGAACGAGAGGTTACTGTGCAATATCAACAAAACTGTAACATTCTATAATGAGAGGCATGCCGATCCTATAGGGAATTTAAGCACATTTTGCAGCACTTTATAATGAAGGCCATTTTTAAAAAATTACTGCAAGAACATTCACTGCCTGCATGCCTCAAAGTATATGAATGTGGGATGGGGAAGAGAGAATGACTTTAGGCAGAATATGAAATTATCCTTCACAAAATACCAGTGACAGTTCAATATAAAGAAAACACCATTATGATAAAAAGAGAAACTTTAAAGTACTCTGTTATTTGATGTGGGATGGGGAATCAGAGGCAAGATGACTCTTTCAGATCCAGCCCTACCATTAGGGCTGTTGACTAAAGTAACAGTCTAAGGGAGTAGATAGGGGGGTAGCAATTTGGGGAACAGACATTTAGGTGGCAAGATAGTATTAGTCCTATCCTTTTTTAACTCTTTGTTTAACATTTTAATTTGAAGTAAAATTTGAAGTAAAATATCATAGTTGGGCTAATAAGAGATTTGCATTTGCTTCTACAAACTGTTCACAGTTGGTTACTCCCAGTGGTGGGATTCAATTTTTTTAACAACCGGTTCTGTGGGCGTGGCTTAGTTGGGGGTGTGGCTTGGTAGTCATGTGACCGGGTGGGTGTGGCTAGCTGGTCATGTGACCAGGTGGGCGCAGCTAGCTGGTCATGTGACCGGTGGGCGTGGCTATCTGCATAAGGACTACAGAGGGCTGAAAAAAGTCATTTCTTACTGGTCCTCGCACTTTTGACCAGTCCTCGCACTTATGACCATCCTCACATTTATGCCCGTTGCGGCATTCTTAACAACTGTGTCACTCATTTCACAACTGCTTCTCTTCATTATGGTGACAAGATAGGGCAAAAACGTAAAATGTGAGGACAGTCGTAAGTTCGAGGACTGGTCAAAAGTGTGAGGACCAGTCAAAAATAACTTTTTCAGCCCTCTGAGTAGTCCATATGCACAAAAGGACTACCCAGAGGGCTGAAAAAAGTGATTTCTGACAGGTCCTTGCACTTTTGACCGGTCTTCGCACTTATGACTGGTCATCATTTATGCCCATTGTAGCATTCTTAACAACCGTGTCACTCATTTCACAACTGTTTCTCTTTTTTTTTATTGAAAAAGTTTTACAATTACATTTGCTCCCCAATTTCCCCTCCCAACCCTCCCAGACCTCCCTAACCCTCCCTAACCCCCCCAACCCTCCCCTCCCCCCCAGACTTCCTCAAAATGTAATCCAAATCAAAATCCCCTTTTTATAAAACTTGAACCCGTCCACCCCCTGTATATTTTTCACATCTTCACAAAGTTCTATTATTATTCTATCCCTATATAATACTTTCAGTTAAAAGCTATCTGATATTTCTTAGTTTGATATTTATTCTGCACATAATCTATCCACTTTTTCCACTCCCATACATAAGTCTCTTGTGAGCGATCTTTTAAATATGCTGAAATCTTCGCCATCTCTGCAAAACTGGCCATCTTCAAAGTCCATTCTTCAATAGTAGGCATAGCTTCATTTTTCCAATATTGACCTATCAGTAATCTCGCTGCAGTTATCATATACAATATCAACTTTGTTTCACCCAATGTAAAACCCTTAGCTATACCTAATAAAAACAATTGTGGAGAAAACTGAATTTTTTTCTTCAAAACATTCTGCATAACCCACCAAATTTTTATCCAAAAAGCCTTCACTTTCTTACAAGTCCACCACACATGATAATATGTGGCATCTAGGCAATCACATCTCCAACATTTTGGTTGAACATTAGGGTATATGCACGACAATTTCTTAGGATCTAAGTGCTATCTATAAAACATTTTGTAAAAATTTTCCCTCAAGTTCTGCAACTGTGTGAATTTAACATTCTGAACCCAAATTTTTTCCCATGTTTCCAACATCACTGGTTCTGCAAAATTTTGTGCCCACTTTATCATGCAATCTTTAACCAATTCAGTTTCTGAATCCCTTTCTAACAAAACATTATAAACCCTTTTAATATGCATTGGACCTTTCTCTTTTATATGTCTAACCAATTCTTCCTCATGCATCATTATACCAGTTTTTTGGTCCTCTTTCCATCTCAATAGAAATTGATTATACTGTAACCAAGTTAAATTAATCCCTTCTTCCAACAGCGTTTCTAAAGTCTTCAGTTGCCATCTGCCCGCATCTGCAAAAAGAACTTCTTTATATAACCCCCCCCCCCCCGAGTGACATTATATTTGTATTCCACATGATATGACCAAGATCCAGCCATTATGGTATTTTGTAATCCCATTTGAGTCGGTGCTTCTTCCAAACTCTCATCAAAGAGTCTCTAAGTATGTGGCTTTTGAATACTTTATCCACTTTGTTCTCATAAAATAAGTAAGCATGCCAACCAAATTCAAGATCAAAACTTTCTATATTCAATATTCCAGTCTTTTTCCTTCC